TCATAGCATCAATAATCCTTATGTTTGTTGCTATAGCCGATGAACACATACTTCACTGTCTTGGGAGCCAATTTATGTCGTTCCTTTCACAGAAGGAGGACAAAACACGTACAACCAAAAATACGCAACAAAGAGTAATTCGTAGTTTTTTAAAACAAGATATGATAAAGAGATTTGTGGTTCAGAATTGGTGTGATTTGAAGATTAATAGAATATAGAACAATATGAACCGCCTCAACCCAAAACCCTCTAGGCACATGGGAGTGATAAAGAAGTGTTATAGTCACTCCAGGACATGTCGGTATTTCCGTTCAACAAGACCATTCTGCTGAGATACCCAGGGACAAGAGAATACATTCTGATTTGTAAAAATTTAGTAACTCATGCTTGGTAAACTCGCCGCCCTCATCTGATATGATAATCTTAATAGTCTTTTCGAATTTAGTCTTGATGAGTTGAACAAACTCATTAGCTAAGTTGCACAAATCCGACTTCTGCCAAAGAATGACACCCAATAGTATCGTGTCTTGTGATCGATAAACAAAGCAATATATTTGAACCCCATGTGTGACATAAGTGGCGAGGGCCCCGAAAAGTCTATGCACGAGGTCAAAAGGATCTTGATACTCTGTATCACTCGACGAAAAAGAATGTTGGGATGCTTTAGCTTCAATACAACTCACACAACAAGAATTTTGAAGCAATATAAGATGTAATGTTACTGGGTAACAATTTTTGACAAAACATCTGTAACAATCTTGAAGAATTCAGATGGCCTCAACGACAATGCCATAAATCCTAAACTGAAGCATTCTTCAAAAAATTCAAACCAGCTGAATTAACCGAATAATCCAACGACAAAGAATTAAAATCCCCCGTACCACTACTATCTCGGCGAACCAAATCAGCACCAAGGCTCGACTGATAAAGAAAGTCTCTAGCCTCCTCTCCCTGCGTACTCGCTCCAGCACACTGCTTCAGTTCATTGAGAACAAACACACAACCTAGCTTAATTCCCTTACCGATCACCTTCCCGGTCGTCTTGTCCTGAATGACATAACCATGAGAGTTAAACGTAACATCACAAGCACCCTTTGTTAATTTTCCAATAGAGACCAGATTAGGGAGTAAGCGAGAGATATAAAAGAGTATTCAGAAGCTTAATAGAACTGGCCGACAAGGTACTCTGACCTACTTTCGAGAGGAGATCTATCTCCATTGTCCACAAGTAAATACAAGGGAGAAACATGATGCAATTTGTCAAACTTGTTCTGAGCAAACGTTATGTGATTAAACGCTTCAAAGTCTAATAACCAATGAAATTGCTTATCTAAGACAGCCCACGTGGAGAATGCGGAACTCAAAGAACGAGGAAGGGCCTCTTGTAAAGTCTCGTGCACAAGTTTCTTCACAAGATCAGGAGAGAAGGACGGTGTGAAGTTTTTGTTCACAGCTGATTCAGAAAGAGCAGATTCTTGTTGATCCCGTAGTCACACCGAGACCGCTGCTATTACTCAAGGATGCAACCGAGGAAGAATCAAGAGCGAATGAATAGACAGCACATAGCCGCAACGAAGAACCAACATGCGAAGCCCCACTAGAGGAAGAACCATAATTGGGATAATTAATCTTCCCTCATTGTTGAAGGTCGGACATTCGAGCACAATATGGCCAGTCTTCTTGCAATAATTGCAGTGATTACATTACTTTCAATGAATTTGAATATGACCTGACTCTTGACAATAATGACACACCACTTCAAAATTAGTCGAACGACCAAATTGAGGACGAGAATAATTACCAGACCTTCCAACAGCAAAAACAGACTCGGAAGCGTGACTATCAAGTTGAGCTTGACTCTTGATCCTTGTTTCTTCACGAAGCAACTCAGGCAAAACAGCATCCAACTTAGTAACCTCATGACGAATTAAAGACGTGTGGATTGGTCAAACTCACAATGTAACCTCATTAAGAAATGCATAACATGAGATCAGGTACGTTCTTTCGAAACTTCAGCAAAAGCATCACCCGTCAAAAGTGAAGCTTTTATGAGATCGTACTCAGTCCACTGATGCAGGCACATTTTTTAATAGAGATTTTACCTAAAATAAAATCTGGGGTAAAATCAGAATCGTAAAATCATAGGCATTTTAAGTACCATATAGAAACTAACATATAATAATGTTAATAGAGTAAATAATTAATAACATAAAGATATCTAACATTTAAAATTATAATATTCAAGATTAATGTTCCAAAATCATCATTTTTATTGTTATTTAATGCTTAACTCAAAATAATTCTTGAAGAAGGAATATAGCTCATGTGATTTGACTTTTATTTTTCATGTTGTCAAGATAGTTCAACTCAAAGTCATATTCCGACATCGTCTATTACGCATAATTTATAACTAAGAATAAGTGAACTCCAATAAACTAATTAATACCAATAGTTTGGTACAAATATATTAATTAATTATACTGGTGTTAGTTCTTACGTACTTACTATGTTAGGACAAATGTTTCACTAATTAGTTAAACAGGGCGAAAGGAAAGGGATTGATCGAGTCTTAATTTGATTATTTTTTGGTTTCAAATATTTTTTTAATAGAAAAAATATATGAGAAGATCCTCGTCATTGCCCTTTCCTCCGAAACAGCTCTGTTTTTTTAATTGGCTCAAACTTCCTATTAAGTTCTCATAAGATCAAAATCCTAATTTTGGAATGATTTTACGATTTTAACAATTTTAATCCTAATTTTAAGGTCCATCAATTTTATAGTAAAATCATATCAGAATCACTAAGTAAAATTCTAAAATGCTACGATTTTACGATCAAAATCCCGATTTTGACTGCGTTGCCCTTGAAAAATGCTCGAGATAGAAGTCTCAAGTTCATAAATGCGTGACGTATTTGCCTGAGAATGCGTGTCACAGATATGCCGCCACATGTCGTGAGCGGTTCCAAAATGGCGCAGGCTCAAAATCGTTTGAACATCAACGGAGGCCAACAACCACGTCACAACCTGGGCATTAGACGATGCCCAATCCTCCTTCTGCTTCTCCATAGTATCCACGCTAGGACGCTTTGATTCACCTGCCAAAACAGATGAAAGCCGCTTGCCTTTTACAAAATTCCGGAATTGGAATTCCCATAGAGGGAAGTTATTCCCATCAATCTTGACTGCAGCCATATCCATCTTTGTTGGATCCATAGGCACAACACAACATATATATATAGAGGTCCTCAATCAAACCGTAATGACAGTTAATGACTAAGACATATATGTACAATTATAATTAGGTACCTATAAGTTAATAGGTCAGGGATGAGGCGGGTGATTGAGGACAATGATTTGCAGAGGTGGCGGCGGTTATTGAGTCAAGGGGAAGTGGAGGGTAGTTTGACGGGAAAGGCTGGATTTTGAGTTAAGTTAGGGGAAAGGAGTAAAAGAATATCTTTAGTAGAGTTAGAGTGATAAACTTGAATATTTAAAACGTCAAATAGAAGTTTAGCTACAAATCATGTCTCTCTATGATCTGTTGCAGGCACTCCTCTCTTTAGTTCCATCCTAAAGACAAAATGATTGAGAGAAAAAGGCAAAGCAAGAAACCTTGTCACCTCATCACCACTACAGGTCAAGAACATAGACTAATGCTAAAACCTTGAACCAAAATTAAGCTCAACCACTAACCGTGAATTTGGAAATACTGGGGACATAGAACAGTATCAAATTCGCGACGTTTTTAGCCTTTTTTTTTTTTAACAGTAGTAACTTTCATAAGAAAAGAGTTCATTACAACAGTGGAGCAATAATATTAGAAACTGCAATCCAATCCATAGGTAATGATTCTGATCTAGCTTGACAAGCAACCCAATCCGCCAACATTTTCAGCCGCCTTGGGACGAACTCGATGTAAATCCAAGGCGAAGAGATTAAGATGGAAGCCATACGCGCAAGGGAAACTTGACAAAGCCAAGGCCAAGAGGCCGGATCCTGATGCAATGCAAGATTCAGCACTTGACAATCTGAACGAATCCAAGTAGGGACCGGATCTTACGCTGCAAGCAAGATAGCATTGAGGAGCCCAAAAGCCTCAGCTTGAATCAGATGAGAACAAAAGAAAGACTAGCCTTGCCATCATACACTTGACCCTGAGGATTAGCAATAGTAATCCCAAACGCCGCCGAGAGGGATTCTGGGACAAACGAGCCGTCGCAGTGGATCACTCGTAAAGTAGACGGTGGTTCAATGTTGTGATGGGAACCCCTCGGCTGAGAAGATAAAAGAGCAGGTCGGCGGGGAGCAAGTGAAGCTCCAGTGAATCGAGCTTCATCATTTTCCAGGAAGTCACGACCTGCAACAATTATCGTGGAGGCTGGGGAAGGAGCCTTGTTATCAAAGACAAAGGAGTTCCTAGAAATCCAAATATTCAAGAGACAGCAGACAAACTGACGAATGCGAGTGTCACTAGTCTTCCTTTAGTCCAAAAAACCAATGCGCAAAGGACGAGCCCTGCGCTGGGAAATCAGAGAGCAGACCTGAAAGGTTCCACGTTTCAGATGCGTGCCGACAGAAGAAGAGGCAGTGCATAATAGATTCAACCGGAGCATCATAGATTGGACATCTCGGTTTGGGGGCACATTGTCTTGTATGGAGTCTTTCCCTGATAGCAATAGCTCGCTTAGAGCATTTTTCAAAGGAAGAATCTAAGCTTCGAGGGAAGGGCAAGAGACCAAAGCCAAGACCATTCCAACGATGATGCAAGCCTATCAATTAACCAACAATGTTCTTCTCAACTATGAGTCACGAGAAAAAATCTTAATGTCAAGCAAAATGCTATTACTAAGTAATATCTTGGATTACTTTGATATGGTAGCATACTTTTTTGGGTATTTTAAAAAAAAGTTATTATAAAAGACGATACTTTACCAATATTTATTTAACCATAAATTTGTTTGGCATAATATCTATTATGAGTTTTACAAACCATATTTAACTTTAGAAAACAAAAAAATCATAAAATCTCTAAGAAACTAAAACCATTCTTAAAGGTGATGTAATAATCTAGCATGCATGGAGGAAAGCGATTCTGGTACAACATCTCCAATCTCAATTTACATCCAGTTTATAGATATAGGCACTTGGATGATGACTCGGCGTATATACAATACTAAAATTACATACACACACACACATCGGCGACGTCCGCTCGCGATCAAAGCTTACATATACCTCGAATTAAAGCATGCATATATATATATATATATATATATATATATATATATATATATATATATATATATATATAAGAACAACATAAAATCAAAATTTTAATAAATAAGTTGAAAGGGCTATAGCCTATAATAGAAGTTGTTCTCTGCGCCTTTTCCAGGCATATTATTATGTATATAATAATAATAATAATAATAATAATAATAATCATATATGGTGGCCCATCATCCACGGTGGCAGGAGCGCATTGGCTCGACTACCGGATGACGTAGTTCCTTCTTCCGCTCCTCCACTACCTCTCGCAGGATAAACGCCTCCGCTGCCGCTTCCGCCACTGCATGTTCACACTGTTGGATTGGCTTGGCTGTTTAAAGAGAGAGGGAGAAAGAAAAAGAGAGAGGGCATACCTTATTATGTCAAGAGGATGCTGTAATGGCTGCTGGGCAACGTTATTGTTTGTAGTAGTAGAAGGTAAATCCAGGGTGCCATGGGTGGTCTGTTGAGGAACTAGAGAAGATGGGTCTTGCTGCTCCCACTCTCCTTGCTCACATATTTCCTTCTCCCTTTCCTTCACCTGCATATATGGGTTTTGAAGGACGGGAAAAGAAGTAGCACAAATTAATAACAAACATGAAGGGATGCAAAAAATGGTGGAGTAAAGCTGGATCGAGATCCACTGGGAAGCACCTTCTTTGCCAGTTGGTTGTTCTGCTCCTGGAGGGCCTTGTCCTGTTAAACAGTAGATGATAGATGTGACCTCCTAATTACTCTACATGTATATGGCTTAACAATAATAATTTAACTACTTCAGCCCCATAATCTGGATAACTAACACACATTATCTCCTGAAAACCAAAATAAGAACCTCAACTTGACCATATATATATTATACTCTTAACTGAAAACTAGCTAGTTAGGCTTGCTTACCTTTTTCTGAAGATCTGAGATGGATTCATACATCAGTTGGTTCTGCAAGCATTGCAACGAGATGGTGATTTACTTCAACTCATTTGCGTCAATAATCATATCACCATTGAACCATGCTTACCTTTCTTGAACGAATGTGCTTAAGAGCAGAATCAAGTTGTTGCTCCAGGTTTTGAAGTTCCCTAAGGCTTAGCGAGTCCAGATCTTGTCCATTGTAGTGCCTGCAAATCAAAAGCACAGAAAGAGAAGATATATATATATATAGTTATAAATATTCCATTAGACCATCAAGTATATACATTTTTGCAACAAGCAATATCCTTAGTTAATTAGTTACCTTAGATTCTTTTGCAAGACTTCAATCCTAGCCTTGAGCTTTGCATATTCTAGAGTCCAGCTACCCTGGAAATTGACGGCCGGGTGCGTGCATGTCAGGCACAACAAAATGAAATGATAAACACAGCACAGAATGGGAATTTACTATATACACTTGGTTCCCGGATGTCCTGGGCAACAAACCAGCAATGTATATTCCAATACCAACTTGGTTGTAGTACTCACGCATGTTTCAGTGTCATTGGCAAGAAGCTGCCTCTCAGCATAGGAGTATCTCTCGTAACGTTCTAGGATCCTCTCCATGCTGTCAATCACACAACCAAAATTTAACAAAATATATGTGTGCTGACTTAAATGTGCAATATAGATGGCAGGATACATAGACTAATATCTCACTCCATGCATACTGTTTAGCTCGCTTAAGTTATTGTGTTTTATAAATCTCGATCTGGAATCTGCCTTGAATTAGTGAGTTAACCTGCTGGCATCAGTGAACTTCACACTTCATTCGGCTTGTTGGTGAACTAATCATATGGTCCCAATAACTCGAGTTGTTGGGAAAGGGATAGTTAAACCTTTTAACCTCTTATACATACGGGTGGTAAAAGGAGACGCTTGAATTTCTATTACTTTCCTGTATTTAACTAGTATTTAAGTTTGATCTGAAATATATTTGATGAGATGCTAAGCATGCATGTTAACATGAAAGAACTTCATTCATCTCGACTAACCGAAACTAAAATTTGGCGGGCGCGTAATGGTGAGCCAAAAGAAGAACCAGAGGTGGATTAGTTTTTGGGTTTTAGATGAGTCCATGCTGTTTTTAGTTCCGTGCTACATTTTTCTAAAAAAATACATCGTACTAGAGGTGGGTAATAGAGCTAGTTATATATGTTTTGATTCCCAATTAGTAAGTGTTTGTCTAGGTCCTATCTTGAGAACTCCATAATTTTTTAATTTTTCCCCACTAGGTTGCTTGTTCTATGTTACAAGACTTTACTCAATAGGAGCTAATCGAGGGACGTTTTGAAAATTTTTCGAGAAGAAACGGAATGTGGATAGCTAGGAAGACAAGACACACGACCAGATTTATAATGCTCAAAGGTTGTGTTTTCGGCCTCTAGTGTGACATTGTTGTTTCTGGCTTGAAAATAATAAAAACATGAACGTGTTTATGAAGATGAAGGAATGTTTTTGCGTATTTGATTGTTTTAGTACCAGAAAGCTTTTTTCTACAAGGGAGACACAGTTGTAGAGTGAAAAACACAACATCGATCAACCCTAAATTCATCTCTTGAAAATTCAAGAATCAAGCAAAGGAGTGGAGATTGAAGAAGAGAAGAAGATTCAAGCAAGTCATGTTCATATCTCCTTTATTCGAGTTCTCTTTCCCTAAGTGTTTGAGGAAGCCTAGCTAGATGTAGTTGAATAACTGTGGTTTGTGAGCCTAGGCTTTCTACCCTCATGCTAAATACTCCTAACAAAAACCAATCCGACCCGAGTAAGCTATATAGCTTCAAAACTCGGTTGTTGGGTGGAAGACAAATAGAGTCGGTCCACAATGTGTGGCTGTCTGAATGAGTATACAAGTGATAAGCTGTTTCGTAAATCGTAGTGAATTTTAAAGTAAGAAGAAGGTCAAGATAAAGTTAATCATGATTCTCCAGAAAACCAAATGCAGGAATCAGATAATGGCGTGAGCAAAACGACACCCCTATTATATACCCTGCAATTTCGTGTCCCCCAGAATATGCACTCAAAATGAGGTGCTTGACACTTTTGGTTGGGGTTTTAAAGCAAATACAAGCGCTCGCAAGGTCATTTTAACCCTAGTGTTCAACAAGGCCATACTTGTGCCTCTCTTATCGACGCCGTAGCCAGTAAGCAGCTCTTCCTTCTACTCCCCACCCAAGGCGTACGTAGGGATGGCAATGGGGCGGGTTTGCCTAAACCATCTCCATACCCATCTTCAAATACCCAAACTCATACCCGCCCCATACCTATGCGGGGAATGTTTTGCAAACCCATCCCCATACTCGTGGGTTTCGGGTACCCATGGGTAATACCCATATCCGTACATCCAACATTATTATACCTAAAACTTACAAGAAAAGTTTTAATTATAACTCTAAACGAACATATTATATTATGAAATCAACAAAACACGGCCATTTCTTTAATATTTAAAAGAATATGATCCTAAAATATCCATTAATACATAATATAGAGTATAATATTTTTCAAATTATTATGTTCTAACTCTAATACATCTACTAAATAATAATACTAACATAATCCTGTTGACAAGGGGAAAGTGAAAGAGTGAAATGAGAATTGAGAGAAATGAATTAGGTTTTGATTAAGGTGTCCACTCAATTGCATTTCTACTATTTATTTTCTCACATATCATTGATAGATTATAATTCGACGCACATATTTTTTTATATATGAAGAAATTATCTTGGTGGGGCGGGTATGAGGATGGGTATGGGGTGGGGGAGGCTAAAACCATACCCGCCCCATACCCATCAAACTTTTTACGGGTTTTACCCATACCCGGTCAAAACGGGAATTCCCCGCGTTAACTGGATCGGGGGTGGTCGGATACCCATGGTCATGGGTTTGATTGCCATCTCTACGTAAATATATATCTTCTCTACTTACGTATATATCTTTCGTATATTTTTGCACTTGATGCCATCTATCTTTTATATATTATCTTGTGGTTTGGGGTTAGAACGGCAACTGATGGCAATGGCGGGATGGTTCGGTGAGGTTCGATCGCCCCCGATGCCCACATCTTATACTATAAACTTTAACAAATAGATGTAAGTACTGCTGTCATTTATATATTTTGAGTCTAGCTATATGGTAACTTTACCATCAAAATATGTTCTAACTAGCTACTTGTCATGCATGGTTGAGATCTGTAGTTTGCATGGTTGTCAACCCACTAGTATGTTGACTTAAATTGGCTGGAAGGTCAGCGGTAGTCAAAATCGATAAAAACAGTCAAAATGAAGAAAAGAGTGATAAGATCGAAACAGTCAATTTTCAACCCCTAAACAAAATTATGTTGTTTTGGTAGAATTAACAAACAAAGGAAAAGAAATCTGTAGGATTCAAATATGAACAGTTAAATGGCGATGTTAGCTATCAGATACAAGTATAAGTGTTTGGATGTTGATGTTGAATGTTGCATTTAAATATGATGATTTTTCATTTTGTTTGTAATGTAATATTTTTTTAAATATGATTGGAGATTATAGAAAGATTGTTTTAAGATAAGATTACATAAATACACAAATCTTTTCGTGTTCATGGTGTACCGTTGGCTATGTTTTGTTTAAACAAGAATAAATCGACATGTACATTGGTCAAATCATACTACTTGCTAAACCTATTTAATGGTATAAAGCAATTTGAAAACGTTGGTAGTTTGTGTATCAATTAGTCCCAATCAACTAATATAAATCAGTCTCGTCAAGTCCAAAATGAGTAATAACAAAGAGAGGTACGGCTGAATAATAAAGCAGGAAAAGGCGTAGGAAGTGATGGAAAATAATGTTGCTGCTATTCGATATGGAAGGAAGGAGTTGGAAATGCAGTGATAAAACAGCGACCATCATGGAAGCCCTCTGATTGCAGCAGAATTATGAAAAATGAGGAAGAGAAAGAAAAAAAAAACAAGGAAACGCATTCATCACCCAAAAAAAAAAAAAAAAAAAAACAAGAATGACACGTTTCAGTTTCATTCTGGACGACAGTACCAGAGAAAAGGTAATTCTAACGTTCAACTACTAGTAACTAAGAATTTGGCAAAGCGTAAATAAATAAAAAAGGACTTTTGTTTATGCCTCGAGTTCGGAGACTAATGCTACTGCTGCTCCAGCTCAGCTGGCCTGGGTTCTCTACCCTAGGCCTAAACCAACCAACAGCGTTTCTGAGAAGTAAACGGAGGAGGAAAAAAGGTTTTGTTATTTTCGTCAAGTCAACGTCACCAGCAAAACAAGAAACAAAGCTGTGTTGCGGCTATGTATGTATGTATACATGTGTATTATACTATTATTATTATGATTACTATTTTCTTTTATTATTATTAAGATGGCCTTGGCCTGGGCCTGGGGGGGTTAACTTTGGTAGAAGAGAAAATTACCTCAAGGGGGAATCCTACGTTGTTGTACACTCCCAACTCCTCCTCCCCATTTCCTATTTCACCCACACACGCACTCCCACGCGCGCATTCACCAACACACTATTTCCTTCTCTTCTCTTCTCTTTTCTTATCTGCATGGAGGTTGGAATCCATACATTCATAATTTCGTTTTCGTATCCTTGCTTGCTTGCTTATGTTTTGTTTTTTCTCTTCTTTAATTTTACCCCCAAATTGAATGAATAGACGAACGCAGTAAGAAACCCTAACTAGCTAACAGCAATCCATCCAAACCAACGAACCAACATCCGATGCAATTGAGATAAAAAAAAAAAAAACCAGAAGCTGGATTTCGGCGCTACTAAAGTATGAGCAAATCGAGTCGAGAAGATGGGAAAGGATTTGTGCAATTAATGAAGTGAATTACCAGGAATCCGTAGAGTACTCGAAGAGCTTCCCCTTGGTGGAGAAGACGATGAGAGCCACTTCCGCGTCGCACAGAACAGAGATCTCATGCGCCTTCTTCAGCAGACCGGACCGCCGCTTCGAGAACGTCACCTGCCTGTTGATCTTGTTCTCTATCCTCCGCAGCTGCACTCTCCCTCTCCCCATTCTCTGCTCTCTCTGCCTTCCCGATCCAGCCGGATTGATCAAGCTCCACACCGCACCAGATCAGAGGCCGAGCAGTTCAGCAGAGATGTATGCAGATCGATCGAGCGAGCTCCTCAAACCGCCTCTCTCTCTCTCTCTCTCTGCTAATTCCTTCCTTCCGCTTCTCCAATGGCCTCCCCCTTCTTCTTTTTCTTCTTTTAGTTCTCTATGTTGTGTTTGGCGGAGGCAAGAAATTGAGAGAGATTTCTCAGAGCTATGGCTGCTTTGCTTTGCCTCGCCTCTCTCAGGTGGTTGGGTGTGTGGAACGTACCGTGGGTATTGCGTATATATCTTGGGGGAGAGAGGGTGGGTTTTGAGGTGCGATTAGCGGTTTTGTGAAACCAGGTTGTTTCGTCAAGTTCGTTGTCGATTTTTGATTGGTTGGAGAGTGACTGTTTTTTTATTTTCCCCACTTTTCTCCTTCGCTTTTTTTGGCATTTTTGGGTTTCTCTCTCTCCCCGACCCACTCTTTCAATTTTCCGATTGGTGTCCGTACAGATATGGTGGGGGCCACCACCTCCTCTGTCTTTTTAAAACCTTCCTCCGCCCTCCCCCTCCAACTTGCTTCGCCTGCCTCGTTGCGGTTTTAGGACGTCCACGAGCTTCAATTTTCTTAATTTATCTCTGGTCAATTTTTTTATCTTATCTTCGTCAGCAGGTGTGCTTTTCAGTCTAGTTTCCGTCGAAAAGGAAATATTCTCCTCTTTAAATTGTTAATGTGCAAAATGACTAAAAACAAATGTAAATTGTCAAATTAGAAATAGAAAATAAAGCTATGCTCTCCCTAGTCCTCAGTTTCATTCCAATTTCCAAGCAGCAGAATGAGATGCGAACTATCTATCCTTATTTAGGCCGTTTACACGTTATCCAGTAATCCAATTTTGATTAAAATTAAGTAAGCTAAACAAGCAAGCAATTAACTTTAGTGAATTCAAACGAGAAAGTGTCGCTCGGACATTGCTTCCTCTAATCTCATGTTAAGATGCAAAGATGAAACTCTAGTATGGTAGGTAGGTTCATATACCATTAATTAGCCGATTGAAAATTAGCTAGTATGATTGCTTCCCAGCCCACTTAATAGATTGACTAAGGCTTGCGTAACTGATCCCTCATAAGTTAATTTGGAGCGAAGAAAAGTAACCAATCAAAATGAATCATGGCACTTCTTTGATGATCGAGCGATGACCTGAATCGACTTATAGAAGGTTACCCGAATTGCCAAGAATGGGCTATAAGGGGATTTCCTCCTTCTTGGTCAACTTATCCTTAAATTAAAGGATTTGATCAAGAACACCCAATTTTCATGAATAATACCTCAATCATTATATAAATCACAAACACAACACACATAGAGTTCAAATCCTACAATCTACAACATCCTAGACTAGGGTTCACAACATCCAAATAAAAATAAGAGACTACTCCATAGCTAGAAGAGAAAATACAACTAAGATAGATGAAAAACCCATAGCAAAGTGATTCTCCCTCTTCCTCTACTCTTGGGCATGTGAAATTCCCCTTCCTCCCTTCTTAGCTCGTAGGTCTCTCTCTATAAGCTTTGAAGAAGAAGCCTCCAATCTCTCTCTAGAACTATCTTTTCAAATTCAATTCACTCTCGTTTTATACAGCTCTCGAGTGCACATATCACGGTCTCATACCACGCCCATGAAGTCGACTGTGAAACCGTTATCTCTGTGCAAAACATGTCGTTTCACTAATGAACTTCACGGGCTGCTTGTTGACATCACGGTTTGGAGAGCGTGATCTTGACAAAGCCGACGAGTCATCCAAATCCTTCAGGAAGTTTGCAGACTTCATGGTTTGCTTGTCCACTTCACGGTCTGCAATCCTTGATAATAGCTCTGCAAGCGTGATATCTGCACTTTCGCCCGTGTTGCTCCATTTTCGCCATCTTCCGTCCGAATTTCGATTTCGGTGGCGCTATTTCCTGCTAAGGTCTGAAACATGACAAAAACGAACAAACCTCGCGCAAACTAGCTCCAAGGACGGTGCAAACACATCAAACATCTCAAGTCAAGTGGTATGAAAGTGTGTAATCTATCTCGAATCAAGAGGTTGTGTTTCAAAGGCCTATTTGCACAAATAGTTCATAAAAAGAAATAAATCCAAAATATAACAATATTTAAAAACTATTTCCCAAACTAGTCACCTAGAGATTTTTTGGGGGACCACGCTAATTTCTAGCTAGGCTCATTCCTGTCATCCAAATTACAAAATTATCAATATGACATTTGTATACCAAATCATCTTTTCTGTTAGTTTTACCGTTATATCTAGGTGACTAGACAACACCTAGTAAGCGCCTACATGGCACATTGACATAGAAATTTTTAACAGCCAAGTAATATAATTAAAAATAAAAAAAATAAAAATAAAAAAAGTAAACCTCTCGGCTCTCTCTCTCCCCTTCCCCGCACATCGTCGTCCGCCCGATCCCCTTCTTTCTTAGTCATTATCTCCCACCACCTGCAAGCCTCTGTCGTCTTCAATAGAAAAGCTTCGTCTACCGCACCAACGGCTCTGTTTCCTCCTTTCTTTCATCTCCTATTTTAATGCCATCAAAGCAACCGACAACCACACTCGCGATTCGATTCCATCGAAGTAGCCCGCAGTCAAAGTACGTGATTTTGATTCCAACAATGCCTCAGTATACCATTCGGTTTCAATTCCATTCGGGTCCCATTGATGTGTCCGTCCTGGGTTGGGTTAGGTCTGGCTTATGGAGGAGCTTCCTGGGCCGTGATGGGTTGCTTTTCTTTCCATTGGGTTCTTGGAGGAAAACGACGGCGAGAGAAGCTATGACAGGGGATTTGTTTAAAAGCGTTGAGTTTGGAAACTTGAATTCGATTGTTTTGATTGCTTGATTATTGCATCAGTGCAAGAAACAAGACAGAGGAGGGTGGTGGTGGGATGAGGATCAGATGGCAAGGTCTCCATTTGAATCACTCCAACTACTACAATAAAATCATGACTAGAGCCCAAGTACAAACTCTAGTAGGGTGCAACATAGGGTAAGTGTTTTAAAATGCCAACCAGGGCCGGTCCATGTACTCCTACTTCAACCGTTTAAAACATTATCTAGCAATCGATTTTTTAGTGAAAAGTAAGGTCTAAAATTTAAACAAGAAAGAAGGTAAATGGTTTTAGAATCTATATGAGAAAGCTTCACTAGAGTATTGCTCCCCCTAGCTATATCAAGATCGACCGGATAGAAACCAATATGTAAGAATGTGCTCATACACCATGAGGAGAGCGCAACTAGTGAAGAAACTTCACTTTCATGGGTGATAGGCCAAGGAACAACAAATGAAGCTAGAAAACTAGCTCTCTTGGCCGCTTAACCAAGGGTTGCTAAGGCCACTCTCTCAGAACTTAATCCGGACGGTAAAATAACAACCAAATCAAAGTGTTAAATCAAAACTGGAGGCTTGCCCTAAATTTCCCTAGGTGGGTGACACAAATGGCCAATAAACCCAGCTTCTCAAATCCTCTAGCCAACAAGGAGGTTTCTCTCCACCTATGTCAAATTGGCATGGTAATGAGAAATGAAGAACACAAGTCAAGAATTTTGGAAAATACCTCAAATTTTACGTTAAACATAAACCCACACACATAGCATTCAATCCATACAATCTATCACATATCTAAAACTAGGGTTTACAATACCCAAGTCAAAAAGAGTACTACTCCATAGATAAACTAGGGATTACAACACAGAGAAGAGGAAGAACCATGGTGTGGTGTGTGACTTCCTTCATTGTTGTAGAAATCACACCTTGGAAGGTGAAAATCCCCAATGTTCAAGCTTGGAGCAAACCCTAGAGCACTTCTTCTTTCTTGGTTTCTCAGTTTCTCTCTCTAAAATTTAAAGAAGAAGAATAAGAAGAAGGCAATCTCTCACTAGGCTCCCGTCTTCAAGTTTTAGCTCCAACATCCTATTATACCCAGATCGCGCACTTCACGGTCTCAGATCACGACAGCGATCTGGAAGCTCGGACCGTGATCTTAGACAAAAGTGCACCATTTCGTTTAAGGACTTCAAGGGTTGGGGAAGATTATCACGATATGGCGATCGTGATATCGTTTAGGCCCGCGAGGCGTAATAACTCTTCTAGCCTCCATGCTCTTTATAGTTTGGGACATGATCAGGGACCTAGTGTGGCGCAGAGTTTTGGAGATAAATGAGAGGATTTACAAAGTCCTCACTCTAGAGTTCCTTTTCACCCTGCCGACCAAATTCGTCAAGGGAGCTGATTTAAAGGACAAACCTCTGATCAGCTTTAGTTTGGGAGGGGTCGGGTCGAGAGGTAGATGACGATGAGAGAATTCACTTTCGCTCCTGACATCTACCCTCTAGAGTTTATCACCGACCGCGACTCCTAAATATATTTGAAGGCGGAAGTTGAGCTTCATTTTCCTCATGAATTCTATGAGAATATCATGAAGATCCCTAGCTTCCGACCCTGGGACGTGAAGCTGTCGAATGCGGGTGAGGTTTTACCTGAGTTCCGACTCATTCATCATGTCATTTCTTGCTCAGTTGGCAGGAAGCATGGGAGCAAGGGAAACCTCATAGCTAGAGATGTGACCTTCATCTGGAGCATGCAGAGCGACGTCCGGCTTCACCTGGGCCGAGCCATTTTGCTTACTCTTTCTCACCATGGGTCAGACAAGAGACTCTAGGCTTTGCATGGAAGAGGCTACATCACCAGGATCCCCAGACACCTTCGGGTTGATTTAACTGCAATCAAGAGTCAGCTAGATACCTACACGGTCCCAGTTCCATTTTCACATCTGAAGACCTATTTGAAGTCTCTAGAGCAGAATGAGGAAGGTATCCGGGCTGTTCGGGGCCTAGAGTTCACGAAGACCAACACAGTGATTGTAGATGGAGTTAATCACACTTTCCCTGGCCGTCCCAGTGGGAGGAGGCATAACTCATCTTCATAAAGTCCGTCTCAGCACGGATTCCATGTGGGACAGTCCAACCGTCCTCATACATCTTATGCCGGAGACGCCCAAACATCCTTTGCTGATCTGGAGACCATCCTGAGGAACCAGTATAGGGACGCAGAGTGGAGGAACCATATGCTCGACTGCGCATGCCTTAATGAGGGAGAATGACCTGGACCCAGCTACGGTTCCTCACCCTTTTGAGCGCACTCCTTTGCCACGACCCTGCACCGTTGTGGAAGAGGATGGTGATAATGAGAGTTCAGACGAGCATTAGCCTCGTGTTCTAGATGGCACTACAGGGCCATTCCCTATCTTTTTCCTTCCTAGCTTGGACTATTGACGATTTCGTTTTACCTTTCGTTTCGAACATTAGTTTTTTGGTGCGT